TTTTTCCAAAAAAAAAAAACAAAAAACATCGGGTCAATACAGTTTTTTTTTTTTTTTTTACTACTAGTATGGTTCAGTACTGTTTTTGTTAATAAAGCACTATTTTAGTTTTTGTTCAGTATCAATTTTAAAACTATCGGTTAATTAATCGGTATCGGCCAGTGTGGTCCAACCTAGCTATCGGTATCGGCAAAATCCACTATCGGTCGACCTCTAATGCATACATACATAGACTTATACATACACTGCCATTCAAAAGTTTGGGATCAGTCAGATTCACAATGTTTTTTTTTTTTTTAAGAAGTCTCTTCTGCTCATCATGGCTGCATTTATTTGATCAGAAATACAGAAAAAAACTTTAATATTGCGAAATATTATTACGAATTAAAATAATGGTTTTCTATATAAATATACTTTAAAATATGCAAAGCTGAATTTTCAGCATCATTACTCCAGTCTTCAGTGTCACATGATCCTTCAGAAATCCTTCTAATACCATTCAAAAGTGTGAGGTAAGCATTTTTAGTAGAGGTCGACCGATGTATCAGTTTTGCTGAATAATCGGCACCGATAGTTGATTGCTGGAAGGTGTGTGATACCGGTGAGTTCTCCTAGACTCAGCGCTGCGCTTTTATTTTGATTAGATAATCATCAAGTGTTCAAGAATAGAAGCAGTTAAAGTGTGAGAGTATACATACAATATCCATAAGTATATAATTTTAATGCTATAGCCTTTGTGTATATATTTAAAGATGTGCATCTTTAAGCATGACAGTTGAAATGAAATGGTAACACTTTAAAATAAGAGTCCATTTGTAGCATTAAGATGAATGAAAGCTGTGTAAGTATTGTTCCTTGTTAGAGTGTGTTAATTTCAACATTTACTATTATTATTATTTTTACTACTACTACTACTATGGTTCAGTACTGTTTTTGTTAATAAAGCACTATTTTAGTTTTTGTTCAGTATCAATTTTAAAACAATCGGTTAATTAATCGGTATCGGCCAGTGTGGTCCAACCTAGCTATCGGTATCGGCAAAATCCACTATCGGTCGACCTCTAATTTTTAGTGTAAGAGCAGAAATCTGTGGTCTGATTGGATACTTACAGCTTTCTCTTTCCTCTTCTGTTTGATCATGTTGGACAGAACTTTGGCGCGTGATTGGCCCTCTCTGTCCAGCAGGTAAGCTGGCACCGCCCCTTCTGGTGTCTTGTCATCATCCTTCTGTTTGCTCTTCCTCTGCTCGTGCATCTTAATGCTGTAACACAAATAATCATGCAGCAGTTCATTCAGATCATTCCTGCCTAAATTCTGACCAAAGTGAAGCGGACAGTAAGTAACGCTCACGTCTTCTTCATCTGGATCTTCTCGGCGTGTCTCTGCTTGTGGTAGAGTTTGGCTTTGAGGCCGATCATCTTTCTGGCTTTGTGCGATCGCTCGTGCACCTCACGGCTCTCCTTCTTCCTCTTCCTCTCGTGGTGGTCCAGACGGTAGCCATGCCGCTTGCGGTGTAACTCGATGTGCTCGTTCTGCGGCTGTACACAGACACAGGATCATTTGAAAACTCCCAAGTTCAACTACATCTCGATATTTAGTGATATATTCTCAAATTACACTTCATTGTAATATTGATAATTAACTGTTTTCCCAAATATGAATCTACGATGATTATAACTGAACTTACTGAGAACTCACTTTTTTTCAGTCATGGGAAATATGACTGTATGTAACAAATCAAAGCACGAACAAATAGCCATATATAAACAAATAAAGATAGCATGCGAATGTGGCTCACTGGGGTTTATAATAACAATATCAGATGATAAACAACTACAGTTATGACTCATAATTCTTGCATAATTTAACTAAGGTAAGGTATAGAACATAATATATATATATATATATATATATATATATATATATATATAGTTTACTAAAAATGTTTTACTTGAAATAAAATGAATGTTAACTAAAATAAAACATACAAAAACATATTTTATTTCAGCTAGCTGTAAAGGCAACATTTCTCATTTTCATTTAGTTCAACCAGATGTACTAAAATAACTAAACATAAAACTGAAATAAAAAAATAACAAAAACTATATAGACAAAGATAAAAATGTCAAAAAAAACACAATCAATTTACTAAATTTTTAACTAAAATTAAAGCAGAAAATATAAAATATTTACATTAAATATTTTATAAAATTATACACGACACGTGTATTTATTTATTATATTTGATTGTATATTATAATGATATATTACATATATATTTTATATACTGTTACTATGTATTATATATACTATATATTATTATATTTATATTGAATATAAAATATATATATATATATGTGTGTAAAAAAAAAAGTTATTTATATATGTATGCGCATGTGTGTGTATGTATGTATGTATTTATAATATTATTCTATTTATTTATGGAGACAAAATGTTAGAATTTTTTTTTTTAAACAAACACCATATATTGTTCTGTAGCGTGTACAGTATGTAGCTACGTATAAAATATATAAATGAAAAATACTTCGCACCCGTTACTCAAACACACAGCCACATGTCAGGCAGACTCGCACTAAACAAAGCCTCTTTCACGCGACACTGGCAGCGTCTTCTTCTTACCATGCTGTGCTCTGAGGTGTTGAGGGGTTTATAAAGCTGTCACGCGTCGTTTAATCCGCTGTTGGGTGTTCAGCTCTGATATTTTGATGCTTTTATTTGAGGCTCGAGTTCGCGATGTTCTTCACTCAGAGCCTGTTCTGTAGAGGAAGTGCGTCTGTCAAATCCACCCGTCACAACACGTCTGCAAAACTTCGCCTGGTTTTTGTATTTATTCGTTACTTCTATTGTGAAAACAAATACATGAAATATATCTTTATTAATGTAGGAATTAATTCACGTTGTGCTGAATAAAAATTAATTCAGCGTTTGCGAAGGAGCGTTAGGAACCAAATATTTAGAATCTTTGTTCTCTCGAGGACCGTTTTAGGTGTAACACACATAGAACAGCATGGCCGATGAACCTCCAGTGAAGAAAAATAAACCGAATAAACTCTCAAATAAAGAGGTATGAACTTATTTAGTGGTTTTCGTATTTCTGTGTTCGTTATACATGTGAAATTATGAAAATTAACTTTATTACCAGGCTGTTTTGTGTCACATTTCTGGTCTAAAACTGTTAAAAGCTCTGTTTACGCCAGTTTATTTAACATCACGTGTTTGTAATGTTTCTATTTGTAGGGCGAAGAGAGAATAAACTGGAGGAAATGGAAAGAACAAAGTAAGGGACAAAGTTAAAACGTTCTACGCTTGTGATGTAAATGAAAGAATTACAGTATATATATATATATATATATATCATCAGATGTATCTCCCAATAATATGTCTTAGTAAAATGCTTATTTTATGCTCAAAACTTAATGCAATGCAACACAATGATGATTGAGAGATGAACAAATAAACAAATAAAAAATGCCTGCTGATCATATTTGATACTCACATTTCAAGATCTTTTTGTTTTCCTAAAAACTATGATGGATAATCACGTAAACCTGAGTTGCTTCAGTCCAGTAAATGTTCATCTTGATTCTTGAGATATTACTAACAATATCCAAGTCATACTTACATTTACTTTATAAAACCTTTGTCAGCAAAAACAGGAGCCACAAGCAAAGTTTCAGTGACGTTTTGATCATTTAGAGGCTTTATAAACTCGTATATCAAATATAATATAGTAGTGCTGAATTCATAACTGCTGTCTGTGACTGTGTTTTCATCCTCAGAGAAAGAAGAGAAGAGACGACACAAAGAGAGCAAGCTCATCCAACAGCTGGAGAAACAGAAGCAGAAGAAAGAAGAGGAAAATAAGCAGCAGGTCCAGCAGGAAGAGAAGGACAGTAAAGGTGAGCAGCACTGCAGAGCTGAGCTTTGGTTTATTCGCATGCTACCATGCAGTATGTGTACTAGATCGTGTACATCCTACTGTACTATACTAGGGGTTTTCAATCTTTTACATGCCATAAACTCCCAAATATGATCATGCTTGTGCGAGGGACCACCATCCTAAAATTTAAAAGGCAACTATAGTTTCATATACAAAAAAAAAATGCTATATAAATGTTACATTATTAAAGGGGTGGTTCAGTGTTTTTTTCTAGGCTTGATTGTGTTTATGGGGTGCAGTCTAACATGTGTTAATACTTCTCTTAATACTACTTTTCACATCATTTACCTTTATTCCACACCGCTCTGTCCCTTCTCTAAGAAACACCCTGATAATTTCCATGTCACGAACCCGGGAAGTAACTCGTTGTAGTCTCTACCAGCCGTTTTTGTAGGCATTAAACTGACAGAATTTTAAAAGACGATTATCTCCGTTTACATTGAACTTTCAGCTTCGTAACTTTGCAGATATTGTTTATGCTCAAACAGCAACATTACACAGTAACTAACGTTAAAAAAGTGAAATCTCAATGAATCTCACTAAATCCACCCCTTTAAGTTTTTTTCCTAATCACTATAGTATTATATATTTATTAATTTAATTTTTGTAATTATTTATTCATTGCAATGATTTTTATTTTTTTTATTTGATCTGATTTTAAATTTTTAAATTTGATATTTATTATATATTTTCTTTCTTTAATTCTTGGTTTTCTTTCTGTCCATTTTTTATACTGTTTTTCCACAGACCACAGTTTGAAAATCCCTGTTCTGTACTACATACTGTACTTTACAGTGTATGCATTATAGTTAACCAAAACGAAAAACATTTAAAAAAAAATGTTAGTTGAAATGAATCAATAAACGTCATTTTCATTTAGTGAAAATATACCAAATATGATATTAAATAATACTGATATACCAAAATAACTAAAACTCAGATAAAGATTAATACAAATATATAATATACATATAAAAAAAAAAGACAAAAACACCCATCAAAGCTTTAACTAATAATCAAAACATTAATAAAAACTATAATAGTATATCAAAGATACTAAAATAACACTGGTACTAGTACTATACCTTCCTTATTTGTCTTGTCAGGTCGTTTGTATACGTTGAGCGTGGCTCTGCCCGGATCAGTGATGGATAATGCTCAGTCACCAGAGCTTCGCACGTACCTGGCGGGTCAGATCGCCCGGGCCTGCGCTGTGTTCTGTGTGGATGAGGTGGTCATATTTGACGAACTGGGGGAGGACGCAAAGTATGTATACACTTTATAGTTCTTGTCAGTGATGTTCATGTGCTAGATATTTAAATGGTCAGGAACTCACTTCCAAACCTTATTTTAATATGTCAGGAGCATTGAGGGAGAGTTCAAAGGCATTGGTAAGAAAGGCCAGGCCTGCGTCCAGCTCGCACGCATCTTGCAATACCTCGAGTGTCCACAGTGAGTGCTGTCGCAATCACATTTCAGTCTTATTAATGTGTTTTCAGACTTTATCAGATTTAGCATAGGATCTGTCGTGTGTGCAGGTATCTGCGGAAATCTTTCTTCCCGAAGCATCAAGACCTGCAGTTTGCTGGTGAGTATGAGAATCTAATTATTGATTTTATTTAGTTAGTTTGCATAATCAGTTTAAATGTGTGAAAAGTTGCTGAAAATGTGCTCACCCTCAGGCCATTCAAAATGTAGATGTGTTTGTTTCTTCATAGGAACAGATTTGTAGAAATGTAGCATTGCATCACTTGCTCAGCAATGGATGCTCTGCAGTGAATGGGTGCCGTCAGAATGAGAGTCCAAATAGCTGATAAAAACATCACAATAATCCACACCACTCCAGCCCATCAGTTAATCTCACCATCTTTTTTCTCATTCTGATGGCACCCATTCACTGCAGAGGATCCATTGGTGAGCAAGTGATGCAATGCTACATTTCTCCAAACCTGATGATAAAACAAACTACATCTTGGATTGCCTGAGGGTGAGCACGTTTGCAGCAAATGATCATTTCTGGGTGAACTATTCCTTTAAGGTCTGTTGAATCCTCTGGACAGCCCACATCACATGCGCATCGATGAGGAGGCGGAGTTTCGAGAGGGGGTGGTGCTCGATCGGCCAAGCAAACCAGGGAAAGGGTCCTTCGTCAATTGCGGGATGAGGAAGGTGTGTGTTTGAAGCTGCACTGACTGATTGATCTTTCATTGAACAGGACATGACCTCAGTCTGTCTATTCTGTTGACAGAACGTTCAGATCGATAAACAGCTCAAATCTGGACTGAGAGTGACTGTACAGCTCAACAAGTGCCAAAACAAAGGTACACACACACACACTGCATGTGTTTTTTATAATTGATTTTTTTTTGTGGTTACACTTTATTTTAAGGTGTCCTTGTTACAGTGTAATTTTACATATAAGTACTGAGTAATATTAATTAACTACATGTACTTACTATATGGTTAGGATTAGGGTTTGTCTTAGGGTTACTTGCGTGTAATTATGCATAATTAATTGTTATTATAATAGTAAGTACATGTAACATGTGTAACAAGAACACCTTAAAATAAAGTGTTACCTTTTACAGATGTATTATGCTGTAGAGCTAAAACTGTTTTTCTGACATTTGCAGACATTTACGTGACGTTTATCTGAACCCTGTGTGTGTGTTTGTTTCAGAGGGAAAGGTGTATAAAGGTGTTGTTGTGGCTCCTCACGTCCCGAGGACAGAGGCTGGGCTCTACTGGGGCTACAGCGTCCGTCTGGCTTCCTGTCTCAGTGAGTTCTGCCCATTTATTCATCTGTTTCCCCTCTTTTCATCCTTTATTCTCCACTAAAAATTGTCTCTCCGTATGTGTGTGTGTGTGTGTGTGTGTGTGTATAGGCGCTGTGCTCACAGAGTGCCCATATAAAGATGGTTATGATCTGACCGTTGGTACATCAGAGAGAGGAAACAATGCAGATCACATCACTCTCCCTGCATTCAGGTGAGTTTTGCATGAGTTTCTGTCCATGTCTTGTTTTTAGCTGATGAATGTGTTTAGTTAAAGCAGTAATTCACCCAGAAATGAAAATTTGCTGAAAATGTGCTCACCCTCAGGCCATCTAAGATGTAGATGAGTTCAGAACTGTTCTTCATCAGGACAGATTTGGAGAAATGTAGCATCACATCACTTGTTCAACAATGGATGCTCTGCAGTGAATGGGTGCCGTCAGAATGAGAGTCCAAACAGCTGATAAAAACATCACAATAATCCACAGCACTCCAATCCATCAGTTAATGTCTTGTGATATTAAAAGGTGTGTTTGTAAGAAACAAATCCATCATTAAGATGTTTTTAACTTAAAATCTTCACTTCATGGCCAAAATACGAGTCCATAATAACGCTTCCTCCAGTGAAAAAGTCCATCTCCTGTTGTCTCACATCAAAATCCAGCCACTTATTTGTTTGGAGCTGTTTTAGACTGTTTTCTCTTTTAAACAGTGCTTGATCTGTGCAGATTTTCACTGGAGAAAGAAATATTATGGATAGAGGACACATGTTTTAGCTGTTTGGACTCTCATTCTGACGGCACCCATTCACTGCAGAGCATCCATTGCTGAGCAAGTGCCAATGCTACATTTCTCCAAATCTGTTCTGATGAAGAAACAAACTCATCTACATCTTGGGTGAGGGTGAGGACATTATCGGCAAATTTTCATTTTTGTGTGAATTACTCCTTTAAATATGCTGAGAAATAAAACTCAATGTTGTTCTGTCAGGCACATGCTGGTGGTGTTTGGCGGTCTTCAGGGTTTAGAAGCGAGTGTTGATGCTGATGAGAATCTGAACATCACTGATCCTGGCGTGCTCTTTGACCTTTACCTCAACACCTGTCCGGGGCAGGGCAGTCGCACCATCCGCACCGAGGTGAGACCGGAAATGCATTTCTATAAAGGGGTCTGTAGGGAAAAATGGGTTCAAATATTTTTTTGGGCAAAGTTCATGCTCTCTTTCTTGTTTAAAGGCCATTCACACCAAGGACGATAATTATAACTGTAAAGTTTTGAAAATTACTCTAATTCTATGAGCATAAAAACAGCTAAAGTTTGTGATTGTTTGGTGTCGATTATGAATATAGTAGATTTTTAAACCCCACAATTAAAAGAAAAATCGACATTAAAATTATATTTTACATGAAGACTGTTTTAGGTCCAGTAAGATGTTTTGCATAGTGACATTTTCACCCTAAATTCTAATTATATCATTAAATCCCATTATTTATATACTATTATAGTAATTATTAATATTTTAAATGACCTTTTATTTTTATATTTTCAGTTTACATGTTCATTTAAGTTTACTGAAATAGTACTTTTAATAATGTGCTTTATTCTTTTAATTTTTTTCTTTCAGCTTTTTTAAATCATTCTACTACTTCTACTTGAACTTTTTTTAAATTTTAGTTAGTTTTTAAGGCAACATTTCTAATTTTAATTTGTTTATTTTTTACTATTATTTTTTTATTTTATTTCAGCTTTATTTCAATTAATGAAAATTTTTTCCAGCATAATTAGATAATACATTAATTAAAATCACAATATGTATATATATGAAAAAAATTAATATATATATTTTATATACATTACATTATACATTAAAATTATATATACATTTTTATTATTATTAGAATTTTTTGCAAATCAGCATATACAACAGTCAGTGCAGCAAGTACTATGTATACTTTACATAATGTACATGTATTGCATATTTTACTATAATGATAACAGAGGAAAAATATCACTTTCAGAACGATTTTTTTCCAACTGATGGACAATAAAAACATTGACAGCCAATCAGAATCCACCTGACTTTAAAGAGCTTGAGCATTTAAAGCGGCAGACAACAAAACTGCACTCTTATAATAAACAGAATGTTATCGTGTGATATAGATATAGTTCTTGATGTGAACGCACCTTAACTTATTATTGAAGTTAATTACGCGTTTTTATCTTTCATACAGGAGGCCATATTAATCAGTTTATCAGGACTCGGGCAGAAAATCTCAGCTGTATTTCCTGACCAATCCAAAGGATGACCCCAGGAAGTAGAGCTGTCAAGACCTTATCAATGTACAGTTTTGTGAATCATTTTGTATTGAAATATTAATTTGTATCAGTGAACTGTCATGAATAGTGTTTATAACCATAAAACAAATCATGAAACAAGTCTGTCTTCAAATGTATATGTTTATTTTTTAAGACAGGCATGTAAAGAACATTCATAATGAGAAGCGAGCAAAACAATCAGCTCATACAGTCAAGCAATAATCATCATTATCATAATAATACATACTGATTTCGGTCTGCAATCCTTCCAGAATGAAAGCATCTTAATACAAATGCCCCAGATGGTTATTACCCACAATCCCTCTGCTCTTGTGCTCGGGCAGATGGTCGATTTTAAATAACGAAATTAATGAAGAAAAACACATTCTCTGAAGGTTTTAACATTATGGGTGATAATTGAGCAGGACTTTAAAATGTAATATTTGGGATGTTCACAATGAAATATGTCATTCAGTATGTTCTTCTCATGCTTGTTGATTTTTGACACTTGATGATTAGAGGCGACATAAGCATCTTTTGGCGATGCACGTTCAACTAAGAGGAGTAGTTCACCCAGAAATGAAAATTTGCTGATAATGTGCTCACCCTCAGGTCATCAAAAAATGTAGATGAGTTTGTTTCTTCATCGGATTTGGAGAAATGTAGCATTGCATCAGTTGCTCATCAATGATCCTCTGCAGTGAATGGGTGCCGTCAGAATGAGAGTCCAAACAGCTGATAAAAACATCACAATAATGCACTCCAGTCCATCAGTTAATGTCTTGTGAAGTGAAAAGCTGCGTGTTTATAAGAAACAAATCCATCATTAATATGTTTTAAACTTGAAATCAAAACATCACCTCTGGCCAAAATACGAGTTCATAATACATATTTATTTTTTCAGTGAAAAGTCTGATCTGAACCAGGAGAGAAATCTGCACAGATCAAGCACCGTTTACAAGCCAAAACAGCTCTAAACAAATATGCTGGTGGATTTTGATGTGAGGGACAACAGGAGATGGACTTTTTTCACTGGAGGAAGAGTTATGGATTATGAACTTGTTTTTTGGCCAGAAGTGATGGTTTCAAGTTTAAAATGTCTTGATGGATTTGTTTCTTACAAACATGCAGCTTCTGGCTTCTCAAGACATTAACTGATGAACTGGAGTGGTGTGGATTACTGTGATGTTTTTATCAGCTGTTTGGACTCTCATTCTGACGGCACCCATTCACTGCAGAGCATCCATTGCTGAGCAAGTGATGCGATGCTACATTTCTACAAATCTGATGAAGAAACAAACGCATCATCATCTTGGATGGCCTGAGGGTGAGCACATTTTCAGCAAATTTTCATTTCTGGGTGAACTATTCCTTTAATGCAAATCATTCCGAGCGGTTGTGTCATTTAGCAGCTGTTATTTATGGGTTTTGACTGAAGGCAAGATATTCAAAGCAGCACATAAGTTACCCAGACTAGCACTACCTGTTACCAACAACAGCTTGAGTTCTCCAGTGAAAGCACAGTGCCAGAACAACATCCTCCAATGAGTGCAGAGCATTTACATCAGTCATATGAAATACTCATTTGGAAACAGAAGCGAGTCATAGTGTGATCATTAAATGGGTGTTTGTACACTAACAGCTGTAGCCAGAGAAATTCAAGTTGTACAACCGATCATAACATTACAACTACTTGGTAAAAAGGTCATGATAAACGGAAAGGCCTCGACACACCGCTGACACACTTTAAACGGCGACACAGTATGTTTGTGATTGTTGGTGTTGATTATGAATATAATACATTTTGTTTACTTCTTGGGTTATATGATATGTCTGGGTCATATTTCACCCCACAATCAAATGAAGAGAAAGAACTTATATTTTAAATGAAGCCTGCTTCAGGTCTAGTAAGATGTTTTGCATTGTGACACATTTACTCTTCAAATTCTGATTGCATGATTACATTTTAACACCATTACAGTGTTATTTATGTACTGTTACAGTATTTATTATTATTTTAATTAACTTTTTTTATATATATATTTTCAGTTTTAATTTAACTTTTGTCATTTTTTATCTGCGTTTGTCAATTTTTATATATATATATTTTTTTATTCTGTTTGGCTTTATTATAATTTTTTCCAGTTTTAGTCATTTTAGTTCGTTAAGGCAACATTTCTATCTTTAAGTTTTTATTCTAATATTTTATTAGTTCATATTTTAATTTGGTTTTTATTTTTAAATGTTCCCTTTTCATTCAAATTTTATTTTAAGTTTTTTGTCAGTTCTATTTTTATTTTAATTTCAGTTTTATTCATTTTTTAAAAAGTTTAGCATTAAAAATTAAAACGTTTAGAGAGGAATCCAACTTAAACTTTTTATTTCAGTTAGTTGCCAAAGCAACATTACAAAATTTAATTTAGTTTTTTTTAAATGTATGTTTTTCATCTGATATTTATATTTTATTTTATTTCAGCTTAATTTCTAATTGGACATACACCTTCCAGGTGCACCCTAGACACATCATCAGTGATGTTTACCTGGGGTCATCGGGTGTTTCGGGTCTTTCAACATCATACACCCTCGCCCAGGCGACCCAGCCAGGGGTGATCAGTCCCCGACTTGTGTCTAGGTAGCTTGTGTAGTCCACGGATCGCCCCTTTTGATCCACAGCCATCTTGATGCCTTCTCCGCGGCATCCGTGATGTTCCTGATGGCTTTATTCTTGTGCACTCCCCTGATTCCCAAGAGCTTGAGGGCCCCGCACAATGAATGGCCGGCAAACCCTCGGCAGCCAACCTCAATGGGGAGGCAGCGGGTTACGGCATTCACCGGTCAACTCCTCATACTTGGCTCTCTTCCGTTCAAATGCCTCTTCCATCCGGTCTTCCCAGGGCACAGTCAATTCCAGTAGAACCACCTGCCTTGATGATTCTGAAAATAGGACCATGTCAGGCCTAAGTGTGGTCGTGGCGATGGTTTCTGGAAATCTGAGCTGTCTTCCCAGGTCAACCTTTAGCTGCCAGTCTCGCTATTCCTTTAATGCAAATCATTCCGAGCGGTTGTGTCATTTAGCAGCTGTTATTTATGGGTTTTGACTGAAGGCAAGATATTCAAAGCAGCACATAAGTTACCCAGACTGGCACTACCTGTTACCAACGACAGCTTGAGTTCTCCAGTGAAAGCACAGTGCCAGAACAACATCCTCCAATGAGTGCAGAGCATTTACATCAGTCATATGAAATACTCATTTGGAAACAGAAGCGAGTCATAGTGTGATCATTAAATGGGTGTTTGTACACTAACAGCTGTAGCCAGAGAAATTCAAGTTGTACAACCGATCATAACATTACAACTACTTGGTAAAAAGGTCATGATAAACGGAAAGGCCTCGACACACCGCTGACACACTTTAAACGGCGACACAGTATGTTTGTGATTGTTGGTGTTGATTATGAATATAATACATTTTGTTTACTTCTTGGGTTATATGATATGTCTGGGTCATATTTCACCCCACAATCAAATGAAGAGAAAGAACTTATATTTTAAATGAAGCCTGCTTCAGGTCTAGTAAGATGTTTTGCATTGTGACACATTTACTCTTCAAATTCTGATTGCATGATTACATTTTAACACCATTACAGTGTTATTTATGTACTGTTACAGTATTTATTATTATTTTAATTAACTTTTTTTATATATATATTTTCAGTTTTAATTTAACTTTTGTCATTTTTTATCTGCGTTTGTCAATTTTTATATATATATATTTTTTTATTCTGTTTGGCTTTATTATAATTTTTTCCAGTTTTAGTCATTTTAGTTCGTTAAGGCAACATTTCTATCTTTAAGTTTTTATTCTAATATTTTATTAGTTCATATTTTAATTTGGTTTTTATTTTTAAATGTTCCCTTTTCATTCAAATTTTATTTTAAGTTTTTTGTCAGTTCTATTTTTATTTTAATTTCAGTTTTATTCATTTTTTAAAAAGTTTAGCATTAAAAATTAAAACGTTTAGAGAGGAATCCAACTTAAACTTTTTATTTCAGTTAGTTGCCAAAGCAACATTACAAAATTTAATTTAGTTTTTTTTAAATGTATGTTTTTCATCTGATATTTATATTTTATTTTATTTCAGCTTAATTTCTAATTGGACATACACCTTCCAGGTGCACCCTAGACACATCATCAGTGATGTTTACCTGGGGTCATCGGGTGTTTCGGGTCTTTCAACATCATACACCCTCGCCCAGGCGACCCAGCCAGGGGTGATCAGTCCCCGACTTGTGTCTAGGTAGCTTGTGTAGTCCACGGATCGCCCCTTTTGATGCACAGCCATCTTGATGCCTTCTCCGCGGCATCCGTGATGTTCCTGATGGCTTTATTCTTGTGCACTCCCCTGATTCCCAAGAGCTTGAGGGCCCCGCACAATGAATGGCCGGCAAACCCTCGGCAGCCAACCTCAATGGGGAGGCAGCGGGTTACGGCATTCACCGGTCAACTCCTCATACTTGGCTCTCTTCCGTTCAAATGCCTCTTCCATCCGGTCTTCCCAGGGCACAGTCAATTCCAGTAGAACCACCTGCCTTGATGATTCTGAAAATAGGACCATGTCAGGCCTAAGTGTGGTCGTGGCGATGGTTTCTGGAAATCTGAGCTGTCTTCCCAGGTCAACCTTTAGCTGCCAGTCTCGAGAAGTCCCCCCGCTGAGTTCCTGCTCCCTTGTGGTTTCTCTCCCGCCTTAACAAATGTGATTGTGTGCTGTACTGGCTGCTGGTGCTTGCTGAGAGAGATTCCGATATAGATGGTTCCAGCAATTACCCTTAGCACCTGGTCGTGGCACCACCGATAACGTCCCTCTCCCAGCGCCTTAGAGCAACAACTTAATATGTGCTCCAGGGATCCTCTTTTTTGGCACAGGAGGCATGCAGGGGTGTCTTTCAGGCCCCGTGAGAAGAGGTTGGTTGGACTGGGGAGGACATCGTAGACTGATTGGATAAGGAACTGGATCCGGTATGGCTCTGCTTTCCACAGCTCAGTCCACGAGATCTTTCGGTCCATTGCTTGTTCCCATCGAGTCCACGCCCCTTGTTGTCGCATCCCCACCATCCTACTGATGGGTCATTCCTCCACCCCTGCTCGGATTTCTTCTTGGACCAGTTGACGCCTGTCCTTTCCCCGAGCCTTTTCATACCGAGGTTTCTGGTGACAGCCAAGCGTCCTGAAGCCACTGTCCCCACCAGCACACTGTGCCGCAGCCGTGCTTCAGCCTGGTCGACTGCCTCCTGGGCCCTCCACTTCCTACCCGTCCTCACTTCAATGCCAGCTGAGGAAACTTTGGTGTCATTGGATTCTCTATATAGCAGTACCTCTCTTGCTCTGGAAACCATAAACTCCTCCGATAGGCCACTGAAGGGGAGTTGTAACTTGTTCTTCCTTCCGTATAAGGCTATGCTGGTAATACTACGCGGGAGACCCAACCACCTACGTAGAGAGTGGCTGATCTTCCTCTCGAAGCCCTCAACAGTGGTTAGGGGGACATCGTAGACCAGCAGTGGCCAGAGGAGTCGCGGCAAAATGCCATGCTGGTAAATCCAGGCTTTGAACTTTCCTGGCAGCCCTGACTTGTCCACTGCAGCAATCCAGGTGTGCAACTCCTTCCCAGTTTCATGGAGTGTAGCTGTGTCCCTAAGTGTGCTGTTGAAGACTTTTCCCAGGCTCTTAACTGGCTTCTCGGTGATTGACGGAATTTGTACTCCTCTGAGGGAGAAACAGAACTTATCGGTTACGTTTCCCTTCCTCACCTCAAGGGATCGGGACTTAGCTAGCTTAAAGTCCATTCGGGCCCAGCTGATGAGGCGTTCAAGGCCTTGGAGGATCCATCTGCAGCCTGGTACGGATGTTGTGGTTACCATCAGATCGTCCATAAAAGCTCTGATAAGGGGCTGTCGCACACCTGACCGGGTTAGTGGGCCTCTGCATTCCACCTCTGCTGACTTAACTAGCATATTCATAGCTAAAGCGAACAAGATCACGGAGATAGTACACCCTGTGATAATTCCTTTCTCCAGCCTATGAAATGCTGATGTTATTGATCCAGAGGTGACTCTCAATTTAAAGCAGAAATAATGAAAATTATTTGTAATAGTTTTAGTCAACAATAACATGAGATAATACAGTAATAATCACATTTTTTAAAAATAAGCATATATTGCATTCAATGCAACAAATATTACTATGATGTATACTTTACATAATGTACATGTACTGTACAATTGAAATTAATTTCCATTTCAGTAATGAAAATTGGCAGTGAAATTTGTTTAAATCTCATGGAAAGACTGTCATAATACAAAACATATTAATAGTCCTATATAAGCCTGGTTTTCTTTATTTTTCTTCTAAAAATGACCCGGACATGTTCTTGTAGTGGATGTTCCAGTGAAGCTCTAGAACCAATTATATGGAGTTCTGGAATGTTCTAGAACTGACTGACCTTTGGTCAGGTTTCATATGACTTACTGATTATGGTATAAAGGCATAAATAGCTCTCCATTCCAACAACTTCCCAAAAAGTACACAAAATGTGCAGATTATCTGAAAATGATGTGATGTAAAATTATCATTTACCTGGCCATTAAAAAAGGTGTGTTTTTTTAAATAGTTTATTTTAATGATGTCTTTTTAGGGCATTTTAAAACCATATAAACTTGTAAAAATATATATATTTTTTTGGAGTTACAATTGACATAGATCTTATTTACACAATAAAATCTTGTAAAGTAGTTAAATCCTCATTCCTATTCTCTGGTAGTTTCACATGACGAACACTCAAATGTGTTGATTGTACCACAAGACGTAAATGAATCTTCCATTTGGCAACTGACAGAGGATTTCTCTGAGAAACGACCGATTATGGGTGAGAAACACTGTAAGAGAAGGCTTAGGAAAACTTCACGGCAGTAATATGGAGAGGTTTTTGAAACTGTCATGCTTCAGGCAAATAAGCGTTCCATCATCTGTTCATTTTCCTAAGGAAAACTAAGATTGGCTTGGTCCTGGATCCCTGCATGGCCTCTGTTTCGGCTCGGTCACTAATCCAGATCAAAGAGAGACCAGCAGCCATTCCGGACCGGTTTCAGAGCAGGCAATGCATTTGAAAATTCAAACATCACAGAGTTACAGAAAGCCGCCATGTTGGCTCCAGCTCACCAGGCTGATGGACGGTTTCCTCACCAGGTCGGGTGGCTGCAGCTGATGTTGTACTGCTTGGCCCAGCGTGCAAACACCTGTTTCTCAGTGATGAAGCGGTGGTGTGATCCGCGGCGCCCCCTCTCGTTCTGGAGGTACGTCACACACTCGTCTGGACCTCTGGGTTTGTAATAGTGATAGGGCAACCGTTTGGGCTGAGGACGCTTCCTACAGGAAACACAATTCAGGAAACTACATTTCAGGGACTATATCGATTCATTCTTAGGTATGATGAAATTTACTGTTGCCCAATCAACATTAGAGTGAAGCTGCACTTTTTCAGGTAATATTATTTCATCTTACCCACAATGGTTTGGCGGCACCATCCCATAAACCTTTATGTTGTCACACATCTCTATGGCGATGACCATGGTAAACCAGCCGGTGCTTAACCAGGACTGAGACTTTTTTCTGTGAAACAATAACAAACACTGAAAAATATAGCAATTTTAACAATGTTCAAACAATACAATAAAGAACAAACTAATTTCAACATCTAACTGTAAATAGATGTTGAAATGTATTTATTTATTACATTTAATATTATAATTATTTTCAATATTGTAATTATTTTATTATTATGAATAAATATATTAAATTATATATTTAAGTTTACTTAATTTCTTGATATATTTTTTATATATATATTACAATACAAAAAAGAACAAATTAGGGCTGAGTTATAAATCAATATTGAGCAAAAAATAAAATAAAAAACCCACAATATTGAAAATATATTATTGTTGTTGTTTTAATAAATGTTGTAGCAGGTTTTATTATCAATAAAACTAACTAACTAAATACAATACATTAACTGAATGAATATATATATATATATATATATACATATAAATATATTACTTAAAGGCAGCATTTATTATTGTCATTTAGTTTAACAATAAAACAATTAAACAACAAAAATTATATAGCCATTTAAAAATAATAAAAATAGGACAGCAGAAAATTACTAAAACTTTAAAAATAAAATAAAAACAGAAAATGTAAAAATAAAATCTAATTTCAATATAAACAAAAATTATAATAGTATATCAATGGTACTAAAATAAAACTGTCATAGTATACAAGTTCTGTTTTTGACAAATATAATAAAAAGGCAATGTTTTGTCATAAATTGTTATATTATCATTTGATTACATTTTTTAAAAATCAATTCAATTGTTTAAGTTTTATAAATTAATTTCATTAGACTATTGTTGATGATAACTTTGTATTAAATTAAATTAAATTATGTATTAAATCATAAAACACAATCCAAAAAACTTCAAACAATTTCATGGGACCCTAAATGAAAAGGTAGCTTACCTGTAAACAAACAAGTTACATGTACATTCATCTTTGAGGTCTAACAATGTGGAATGCATCTGAATATTAAAATGAATATTATGATATGGAAAAATATTCTGTTGATATTTTTGGCCATATCGCCTGGCTCCAGGACAAATGTGTAACACTCTCGAACAGTTTTTGCTACATTAAAACAATAAAATAGCATTTAAGCGCCTGCTAAATCAGTGGTTCCCAATCCTGGTCCTGGAGAACCCCCAACACTGCACGTTTTTGGTGTCTCTCTTATCTGACACTCACATTTGAGGTCTTGGAGTCTTCACTAATGAGCTGATGAGTTGAATCAGGTGTGTTTGAATAGGGAGACATCTAAAATGTGCAGTGTTGGGGGTTCTCCAGGACCAGGATTGGGAACCACTGTGCTAAATGACTGCATGTAAATGTAAAATATTTAGTAAATGAATAAATAAACATGTTAAACTGAAGTAGCCAACAGGAAGTGACGTGTTCACCTGTCTCGGCCGGTCTCTTTTTGAAAGAGCGTGTCGAACCTCTGCATTTTGCCGGGTGAGATGAAGAAGAAGGACAGGTTACTGTAGGTCATACTGACTCTCTGGATCAGCCGGTACAGCGTTCCCTTCGCGTCGAGGCCGATCTTTGTCGACGGGCCCCAGAATATGATGGCAGGGCTCTCTGAGCGATTGAGGAACTCGGCGGGTTTGCGAACCACCCGGAATACGCTGGAATGAGCCACGACGCGCACGCTGGTCCGGTTCCCCACGTCTGATTCGTAGCCGGAGGTTGGAGCGTCGTTCATGCGGATGACACACTCTGTACGGTCGATCTCGTCACCGGCGTGAGTCCCCAACACGTGACTAGAGCTGGTCACTAACGCACACTGACGGCAGTGCAGGCTCATGCTCTGAAACAACAGTTCAGCAACTTATATGAGCAATGCATTTACTTCATTAAGAATTCTAGTGCATTTTGACATACAGCAAGTAATATATGTTTTCATATATATTTTTAAATATAGCAAAATATACAAAAAATGGTTCAAATATATTGCTAATATAGATGTTCAAATATATTTATGTAGTTAATTAATTATTCAAATGATTTGTAAAACTTTATATGAGCTATCACTTATTTTATTAAGAATTCTAGGGCTATTCTATAATATTCTATATAATATATATTTTCTAATATTTTTCAAAATATACAAAAAATGGCCAAAACATAAAATAGTTAATATAGATTTTAAAATATATTTATATATTCAATTAATTAATAATTGAGAAAAAATAATTTTATATGACAATTTTTTTTCATTAAGTATTCTAGTGCATTTTTCCATGCAGCAAATAATATACATTTCAGAGATATTTTTTAATATATTTCGAAATATACACATATATATATATATATATATACATACATATACATACAGTATATTGCTAATATAGATGTTAAAATATATTTATATATTTAAATAAAAAAAAATTATATTAAAAATATTTTATGATAGTATTAAAATATTAATTATTATAATTAATTAATACTTTAATTATATTTTTTAATTTACTTAATTTCTTCACTTTTTAAAAAATATGCTCAAGTAAATGTATATTATCCAACACAAACACACACACACACACACACACATACATATATATGTGTGTGTGTGTATTTTGAAGGTTTACAAGAAATCATTTTCTTAAACTGTGTATACTGCATATATTTTGGCCAGATTTAGGTCAGGCAAAAATGCACATATTTTGGCCTTTTTTCTTTTTACTGAGTTATAAATATTATTTGTAAAAATGCTGGCTTCACCTTGTTACCGTAAACAGGAACGTATGCCTCCTTCCCGGCCCATTTCTTGAGGTTGGTGTGTTTGATGGCGTAGTGAAACTCGTTGACTTTAAAGGGGCTGTAAAGATCAGCTGAGCTGTTGGAGCTGTAGAGGATGAGGAGGGTCATGATGAGGAAGACCGTCCCATAAATCACCATCCGCTGCCCCTGCTGCCATTGCTGAGGGAACACAGATGAGAAGAGAACAGCCACTTCACACATAAATCCCTGGAAATCAGAGTAGCATCGATCATTTCACATACAAAAGACACTTTTAAGCTCCACGTCATTGAGAAATATCTGTATGTTCTGCTATATGTTTTATCAGAGTATGTAAATAATCTAAATTCAAATATGTAGATTTAAATAATACACTAATTTAATGTTCTTTCAACTGCATAAATAGCAGCAGGTACTTAATATTGATTATTGATTGCTGAGAGCCACACACAATTATCAACATGCCCTTCCATCACTACATCAACAGATCTCTGAAATACAAACTCAAAACGGCTAACATGAAGTACTTCATTTTCTCTAAAGATTTATGGCATAATAAATGCATCTTGTGTTGATTATAAAGGTAAGGTAAATGCAAATTTTAAATGTATTTTAAATCTGTGAATGGTGAACAAACAATACATATAAAAACAGTGGAAGATCAATCTAATACACAAGTTTGGAAAGGCTTGGAATAATTAAACAATTACATTTTTTAATTAATTAAAAAGATTGTATTTTCTAAAGAAGTCTCTTATGCTCACCAGGGCTGCATTTACTTGATTAAAAATTCAGTAAAACCTGTGATCTTTTGAAATATTATTATTAATTTAAAATAACTGTTTTCTATTTTAAAATATATTAAAATATAATTTATTCCTGTGATGACGTTTTTTTAAGAGACTTCTTTGAAATGCATTAAAAAACCTAATTAATCTAAACTTTTGACCAGTAGTGTATATCATTTAAAAATAACTTTAAAATATATTTTGAAGGGTTTTTCTACTCACTTTATCTACAAACCGCAGTCTCATTCTCCTGCTGCCCTTCTGTCAGGTTTCAATGCTCATGCCTAGAGAGAGAGACAGAGAAACTGTGCCAAAACACCACTGACACCTGGAAGACCGAGCCTGTGTGTAAATTATATATCAGTTCATTTCAAACTCATATTCAGAAATAACATGCAGAGGTATTGTCAGAACCCATTTCCCATGGTGTGACATTTACACAAGCCATGATTTATGAAATATGAACCAAATGCAAATAAAAAAACTGCTTCAACAGTGTCCAATCATACACGAAAATAACAATTTAATATTTAATCTGACAGGAGACATTCTTTAAAACTTTAAGTCCTTTAAACCTGACACCTGTTAGTTTAAATATGAACAAGGTGAACAAGTTAAATATATTAAAATCTGTCATAAATCATACTTCCAGGGCTTCTTTAAACCTATCAAGGCCATAGATAGCACCAGAAATAAACACATCTATGTACATAATGACGCTATTATTAGTCAAAATGCATTTCACACACACACACACACACTCACATACATACACTCTCACACTCACACATACACTCTCACACACACTCTCACACACACACTCACACTCACACACACACACACACTCTCACACACACACACACACACACACACTCTCACGCACACGCACACACTCACACA